GATGCTGTTTCACCATAAGGCACGTCATCTTGCTGGATGGGAATCTGTCCTAGGAGAATCTTCCCCTGAGGGAAGGCCTTTACATCTGTTGATTTCATGACCACAGCTATGTGTGGTTGCTACCCTCAGTGCTTGGAGGTTGCATGCGAGACAAGGCAGCGCGAGACGGAGTGTGGAGAGACTAGCATGAGGGACAGGAGGAGATGGGAATGAGGGGCAGAGTGAAACTGGAATGGGACACTCAGTGAGACTGGACATGTGCTCGGGGAGAATGGAATAAACGGCAACTGATCACCAACCAACCTGGCGGCCTCGTTTCCTCTTTCATCTGCCCAATTGACACTGGCTATGGGGTTGGGGAAGTAGCCGAGACCACTGAACAGAGGCAGGGAGAGAATGCCGCGGTTTCATATTTATTTTGTGATCATAAAATTTATGCTTATAAAAGGAATCCAGTGAATTAGTCGATGGCTTTAACTAAAATATCTATTTTAATCATGTTTATTCTTTCAAGTCATGAATACCTGACACTTTCTATTTATTTGTCTTCTCTGCCCTGCCCTCCAAATGCTGTCTTAGTTTTCAGTGCACAAGTCTTTCATCTCCTTTTCCCTTGTATATTTAGGTTTTCTATGACCTTTATTCTGGAGTGATCGTAAATGGTATTGTGATTGTTTTTTTTTTATTTTTCTTTCTTCTATCTAGTTGTTTATATGTGGAGATGCAATCATTTTTATTAGAATTTTTTTTCTTGCTTATTGGGTCCTACCCAACGATGCTCAGGGGTTACTCCTGGTTCTGCTCTCAGGAGTTACCCACGGCAGTGCTGGGTGGACCAAATGGGATGCCGTGGATCAAACCCAGCTTGTTCGTGTGCCAGACAAATGCCCTTCTTGCTGTACTATCACTCTGGCTCTGCAACCAATTTTTATATATTAATTTAATACCTTATCATTTTATTGAAATCAGTCATTATTCTAGTCGTTTTTTTCATGAACATAGGGTTTTCTATTTACCTAATAGTGTCTTCTTCCAAATCAATAATTTTCTTTTTCAGTTTGGATTTTTTGGACATCACAAATTAATTTTTATATTTTCTAACATATTTTAGACTTTTTATAGTCTCCATTTAACATTATTTTCAAAAACTTAATTTATTTTTTAATTGAATCACTGTGAGATACATTTACATTTACAAAATTTTCATGTTTGAGTTTTTCAGCCCTTTCTCCCCTCTCTGTGCAGTAGAATTTTGCACAAAGGAGACAGTGGTCCAATTCCATTTGGAAATTTGGGACAACAGCGACATCCATCTGGAGAAACTCTTGATTGAATATGATGTGGTCATTTCATTGTGGAACCTTCTACGGGGAGACTCCTATGTCCAATGTTTAGATTCGGCCTTCTGGAACTGAGTTACCATGAATGGTCTTGGTTGACATGATGAACTCAGAGAGTCTCTCACTCTATTCAGGCCATTCTAGGCCATGGGTCCCAATGTGAAGTTCTTTGGCTGATCGTCTCGGTCCTATTTTTGGCATTAAAATCACAGATAATGATCTTGTAGAAGGTGTGTTCTTCTTTATAGAACTTCTCCAGCTCCATGTAGAACTTTTCAATTTCTCCTTCATCATAATTGCATGTTGGTGCATAGACAACGAAGATAGAAATTGCCAGCAGTGAGCCATATCTATTCAAGTGTAATTGTCTGATTGGGGTTGTTAGGCAATTGAATGAATCAATGCTCATGGCCCAGTTCATGTTGACAACGACACCAACACCACCAACACCTCTTTTGTCGCATGTTCCGAGGTACAATTCTTTTCCAGTGTCAAAAACGGTGTAATGTGATTGATGCCTTCTCATCTCAGTCAGTCCAATGATGTCAAAATTGATCTTTTGCGCTTGTACCATCAGGTCTTTGATGGATGCATCCGATGCCAGCATACGTGCATTGAAAGTAGACAGTCACTTTTGTCCTTCTTTGTTTTGGCAGCCTAGTTTGGCCTTGAGATTTTATCAGCCTCTCCTTCCTCACCCTTTTTAATGCTGCCGTTATGGTGGCTCTTTCAAGGTCAGGGAAATGAGACCCGTTGTATTTACTGTTTTTTGCATATTGAATACACCACGGATAGCTTGACAAGCTCTGCTGTGTGGGCGGGATATTCTCAGTAGCTTTCCAGGCTCTTTGAGAGGGATAGAGGGTTTTAGGGTGGCCTCTAATTGCTCTTGCAGGTGTTCCCATGGTTTAAACCATATTTGAGCCCCATCAAATATGGTGCAATAATCTTGAAATATGGGTATTAAGTGTCTTATGGTGTGTCCTGATGGATCTATCACATCTTCCAAGAGGGCAATGGAGATGATTATCCATGACTTCTACTGGGATGTCTTCAATAGCCACACCTACCTGCCCATATACCAATTCCACAGGATGGATATGTCATTCCCAATGTTCTCCCTTCCGAAATCTGACATGTCATTTCGTCCGTAAAGTAGTGAACAGCACCCGACCCAGACAAGGTCAGACCCGAACACCTGAAGAACCTGCCATCAGTACTCATCAATACACTGGCTTGGATCTTCACACATTACCTGTCTGAATGCAAGGTTGCGTCCCAATGGAAAACCAGCAGTACCGTTCTTTTGTATAAGAAGAGAGAGATCCACGACATTGGCAACTATTACCCGATCGGCCTGTTTGTTGTCTACAAGCTGTTCACTAGAGTCATCCTGAGTAGGATTGGCAGAACACTAGATGAAGGACAACCATGCGAGCAAACCGGGTTACGAAAAGGATCCAGCATGTTTGACCATATCCACAGGATAACCAAGCTCATTGAGCTTTCTCGGGAGTTCAAGATGCTGCTCTGTCTAACGTTCATTGATTTAAAGTAGGCCTTTGATTCTGTTGAGACAGAAGGGGTCATCGAAGTCATAGCCAAACAGGGTGTTCAAACTCAATACATCAGGATCCTCTGTGAGTTGTATGATGGATTCATTAGCAGGATCTCACCATTCTACAAGGAAGTGATCATCCATGTCAAGAGAGGAGTTGGGCAGGGTGATACCATTTCACCGAAACTCTTCAGTGCCACCCTCGAGAACGTCATGCGACGACTGGAATGGGAAGAAATGGGAGTGAAGATAGATGGTTGGCAACTACAACACTTCCACTTCGCTGATGACATCGTTCTAATAACACCAAACATTAGCCAAGTGGCCCAAATGCTGGCAGACTTCAACCATGAGTGTGGAAACGTTGGACTATAGCTGATACTCACGAAGACAATGTTTATGAGAAATGGTCTCATTCCTGACGTTCCATTCACTCTCAATGGAATGCCCATCTCCAAATGAAACAGTTACATGTACCTAGATCCAGAAGTCAACATGATGAATGTCCTGGCACCTGAGTTACGCAGGAGGAAGATAGCAGCTTGGAACGCTTTCAAGAGCATAAAAATAAAAATAGCTAAGAGGATGAAGAACTTCCGGTTCAGGCATATCTCTTTGATTCCACTGTTCTTCCTGCATTAACATATGCCTCAAACACCTGGGCCCTACAAAAACAACATGAGAACGCTATTCGAGTTTCCCAAAGAGGAATCAGAAGAGCTATGCTTGGAGTATCACGCTTCAACAAGTGAGAGAAATAATTCGGAATTCCAACCTCCATCAACAATGAAAAATCAGGGATGCTGTCTTTTTTGCCAAGGCATTGAAAATCTGATGGGCTGGACACCTAATGAATGCGATTTGGAGATGACCAATGGACTAGAACCATTACCGACTGGATTCCATGGGACGTCAAAAGATCATGCGGCCACCCACCGATGAGATGGTCTGACTTCTTCGTCAAGACCCTGAACAATAGGTTTGAGGCTCTTCGTGTTCCTAGAACAAACAGACGCCATTGGACCACACTAGCATGCGACAGGGACAAATGGAGACATTACTGGCGTCTGCTTGAGCAAATCGATGAGTAACGGGAAGTCAAGTGATCAAGTGATCATGTCTGAGTTTCAGTTATAAATGATCAAACACACATCTCTCCACCAGAATGCATTTTCCACCACCAATGTCCCCAGTATCCCTCCCGCTGTTCCCACCCCACCACCTGCCTCTGTGGCAGGCACTTTCCTTCTTACTTTCACTCTTACAATCTCTCTACACTTGTGCATTGTGGTTTGCAATACAGGTACTATTGAGAGGCCATTATGTATGGTCCTTGGTCTACTTTCAGCACACACCTCCCATCCAGAATGATCCTTCCAACCAACATTGACTTAGTGGTCCCTTCTCTATCCTAGCTGCCTTCTCCCCTGGAGGCAGACTTAGTTTGGATTTCTTTTATCCTGTTTGTGAAATAATGGTTCTCACTAGAGCTTCCAAAACTGTGTATAAAAGTACTGGAAAGGTGCTTCTGACAAGCACAGGGCTGGTGAGCACCTTGTGAGCATCACAGGTATGGAGGAGAACAATTGAAGTCGATGAGTCAGCTCATCACCTGGCCAGGACAGCCCATAGAGAGGCATTGCTGATCCTGTTTTAGCCTCTGATGGATTCAGAGTTTGGAATGAGTCAACAGGAGTGGTAAGTCCAGTGAAAGGAACATTTTCTTGCTCAACTCACCAGTGCTAAAGGACTCCAAGTCTTTAGAACAAACATGAATGAAATATTAATGCCTTCTATATCTGGGCCATCTGTAATCATCTGAGGACAAATCCAAATTTTGCTTTGGGTGATTAAAAACCTGCCACATTAATTAATCTGACATTCCTTTGGTGTCTCTGAGTTCCTGGGTTCTTATATATTGCTTAGTAGTTCAGCTCAAAGAGGACATAGAGTCCAGAACATGATCTTTGACCAATCAAATTGCAAAAACTTGGCTTATCTGGCACATGCAAACAGGAATTATAACACACTAATATTTGCATATGTTATTATCTCTTCGCTGAGTGGATGAGTGCATGCCCTCTCCTGGGCAGGACCTGTGTTCGCGTTTCCTCTACAACTGTGACAAACTCAGAAACAGCAGCTCCCTGCTCTGGCTGTATTGCCCAATGGCTCTCACGGTGTTGTTTGGTCTCCTTCCCCTGAGTGTCTGTCTCCTGCTGACACCTGGCCCCACTGAGGCGGGCAGGCTGCTGGTGGTGCCTATGGATGGGAGCCACTGGTTCACCATGAGGTCAGTGGTGGAGCAGCTGGTCCAGAGGGGGCACGAGGTAGTCGTGGTGATACCAGAGGTGAGTTTGCAACTGAAGAAATCTTCAAATTTTACAACCAAAACCTACTCACTTTTTTACTCTATGGAGGATTTGAATCATGAACTCAAGATTTTTGTTGATCATCATTGGAAAATCCGAGAAAAAAATTTACTTCCTTTATTGACAGGCCCATCCGGCAAAGGTTTTTATTTCCTTTTCTCACACTGTAAGAGTGTGTTCGATGACAAGAAACTGGTAAGATACTTAGAAGAGACTTCTTTCGACGCGGTGTTTCTAGATCCTTTTGATATTTGTGGTCTGATTATAGCCAAGTACCTGGCCCTTCCATCTGTGGTCTTCACCAGGGGAGTATTTTGCCACTATCAGGATGAAGGGACTCAGTGCCCGAGTCCCCTGTCTTATGTCCCTAGAGGACTCTTAGCTTTCTCGGATACCATGACTTTCTGGGAGCGAGTGCGGAATCTCCTCTTCCACGTGGAAGAACATTTGTTTTGCCACCATTTTATGAAAGTGGCTGTAGATGCTGCCTCTGAGATTATGCAGACCACCATCACCCCCTATGACCTCTACAGCCACGTGTCCATCTGGTTGTTACGGACTGATTTTGTACTGGACTATCCCAGACCCGTGATGCCCAACATGGTTTTCATCGGAGGCATCAACTGCCATGAGAAAAAGCCCCTGACAGAGGTAAGCCCGTGCCTGAGCAAAGGAGGTGAGAATCAGGCCCTGAACTCTGTGTTGTTTACCGGTCTGGGTTCTATAGTTATGTTGTCACATTTGCCATTTGTCTCTGAGTGAATGAATCCTCTGTAATCATCTAATTGAGCACTAGATAAATGTGCTATTTTTTGATGTGGATGTACTGTTTAGTTGGCTTGTATATTAGCCTCAAAAATTTTTTTTTTCAAATCCTACATTTGGTAAAATAAAGGAAACCACTGTGAACAGTGAAACTCTCCTCTGGCTCTCATTATCAAAATGTGTTCTTACAAGTCTTTGTGATTTGTGTTGCATAGAAAACTTGCAAAATGTTCTGTATTTTCGATGTACCAGAATCTATTCCACTAACCAATCCTGCCTGGTATTTATGCTCTGCTTAAATATTCTTTAACTAGTTCATATTTCCTCAAAGTACAGCAAATTCCTTCAAAAAGAACGAGTGTATGCTAAACATGAGACATCTTTTTGGAGTGATCACAGCAAGATTTATCCGTTTTGAAATTAGTCAGTTTAAAAAATTGATCTATGCTGATTTCATAATTTTTATCAAACACTCATCTATTATACAGGCAATTAAAATATCCCAAATCATTGTGTCACCAAACTCCTTTGGAAGGTAGAGCGCAGCCCCTCAGATACATGGTTCTGCCGAGGGCACAAATATATTTTACAGTAATCTCTATAAAATCTAAAACGATGGAAGGAATGATATAAACGTTTCTGAATAAAAATGAACATTTCCTGGGGCCGGAGCGATAGCACAGTGGGTCGGGCATTTGCTTGCACTTGGCCGACCTGGGTTGGCATCCCGTATAGTCCCCCAAGCACTGCCAGAAGTTATTCCTGAGTGCAGAGCCAGGAATAACCCCTGAGCCTCACTAGGTGTGACCCAAAAAGTAAAGTAAAAGTAAAGGATCTCCCGTTGATCATCGATTTGCTCGAGCGGGCCCAGTAACGTCTCCATTGGAGACTTTGTTATTACTGTGTCTGGCATATCGAATACTCTCGGTAGCTTGCCGGGCTCTCCGAGAGGGGGACCAAAAATTAAAAAAAAAGGTAAAGTAAAAAGGCCCTCCCGTTGATTGTCGATTTGCTCCCCGTGACGTATTCGATATGCCAGACACAGTAACAACAAAGTCTCCAATGGAGACGTTACTGGGACCGCTCGAGCAAAAAAAAAAAAGATGTTAAAAATGAACATTCCTTAACATGTAGGAGAATGTGGTTTGTGAATTCTTGGTGGATTCATTCAGACCCAAAGTTAAACTTATTAATTGGGTTCTCAGAAACCTAGTCGTTCAGTAAATACCAGCGTGTCACAGGGCATATTGGGATGAAAGAAGGCTCGCACATACCCTTTTAGCAACCCTTTGGAAAACACTGTTGGAAAGACCCTTCATTTAAGACCCTCTGTCTCCCTAACTTTGGCAGTTTGTTGCAGTGACTCGGCCCTTGGTCTCAGAGCTCACACTGGTTGTGGAGTGCAGTGGGTTGCCCTGATAACACCGTCTTCCTAGTGGCAGGTTAGACATCACACTCATGGATGGCATGAGTTGATGCAATCAGCACACTTGTGCGAGGCTCACTAGAAATTCAGTTCCTGCGTCCTTACATTTCTCCTTTATAATCGAGATGGTATAAAACACTGCTGAAGCGTGTTTTGATAGTCATACATTTCCATGTTCCATTAAACAGTAGCCTGCCATCTTACTGCTGACCCAGGCAGGAGGGAGGAAGTCGGAGCAAAGTGGGGATGGTGTGTTCCTCAGTAGGACAGGCACAAGTGTGCAGAGGAGCGAGGCTTTCAGTGGGATGCAGTGTGACTGGTGACCAGACCTGCAGGAACTCGTTTCCTCACATCCAAATCTGATACATAACCGGCAGTTCTTGGCTCCGGGATTTCTCGGAAGGGAATTGACTGATCACTGCTTTCCTCAGAACCTGGAGTCTTGGGATGGTTGGCTGCATTGCTGGCCAACGCTTGCTTGATCTTGAAATGTTTCTGTAAAGTTACAAAGAGCACCTGAACCTGGGCACAGAGCAATGCGGGCGACGGAGAGAGACCACAGGGTCTCAGGGAGACACATGCTCCCTCATCCCCCTCAGCTCGTCCCCAACCCTTTTATCCTCTCCCTTCCGAGGAACTTTCTGTCCTTCCTCTTCAACATTCTGGTGCTCCTGCTCACCTATAAGCCAGTGCTCTCAGGAACGCTTTCTGCGGTGGTTTCCCCATATTCTCTCTCTTTCCTCTCCCAATTCCTGTGCAGAAAGCCCAGGAGGTGCGTCTCCATCCCCTTACTCCATTCTCTGTTCCATCCCTGTGGGTTCAGGGATCCTGAGGGTCAGAAGTTCACGTGAGGATTTGTTCTGCCTGTTTTTCCAGCGTCTCTCTCATTCAATCCTCCAAAGAACATGTCACAAACTTGACCAACCAGCTCAGGGAATGACAGGGTCTGCAGGGTAGTTGGAGGAAAGTTGTGGGCTGTGACAGGTTGTACTCTGTTGTCTACTACTGAGATACATCACCAAGGACTTGATGTAAGAAACTAAGGATCCAGTAGAGTAGGGTTGGCCCTAATTCAGTGTCCTGCTGACCTGGGAGGATAGTGGTATAAAGATCCAGGAAAATTGCATGCAACGTCATGATGAAATATTTATCACAAATATTGTCATTCTGATTGGATATATATTACCTAAAATCCAGTAAATACTTAACCTGAAGATTTCAACCTCTTGACACCTAGGTATTGGGGAAAATGAGAAATTGTTCAGGAGTCACATATTCACCATTATGTATAACAACAATTTTAGAGACCAATATTCCTTACAGTGCCACATCCTGATCAGGAAGTCCTGGGTATACAGCAGCAATCCTCTTTCTTTGCTGGCTAGAAGGATATTTCTGTGAACTGGTCCCTGTCCTGGCGCTGAACACTTAAAACGTTTGGTCTATACTTTTTTCTGTTTTCCTGAGTTTTGACCCAATGCTCATTTACTCTACGGAATTTCATCTAGGCCAAAAATGCTCTGCAGCTATCCTTTTTCCTTAGACTCTTTTAGACATAAACTTAGGTATTTGTCCTGGTTTGCATAACCTACGCAATATGAGAAGTTTCAGTTGTGTACTTTGTGGATTTGGCTTAATGGGATTTTACCTTTTAAAAAAGATTATAGTTGAGGAAGTTCCGATGGTGTTGAATTTATAGTGTTGGTAAACTACAGGTTATCTGTTTTGAATGCTAAATTAAATCAGTCAATAAGTTCAAGATAATCACTGGATGGTTTTTCTCCTAATGGGACAGAGAGAAAGGAAAGAAACTTACCAAAAGAGAGCAAAACTATGGACAAGACTGGATGAAAACTGAAGTGTAATTGTTGTGTTGGTCATCTTTGTGTTGATCCCAAAAGCATTATTTCCCTTTTGGTAGTGTATAGTAGTGGTAGTGTTGTGTTCCATTGAGGAAAACCACGGAATCTCTTTTATAAACCTTTTATTTTGTTGTTAAAGAACATGGTTTACAAGAGAAAATTGTACTACAGCTGCTTCATCCATCATCAGTCAAAGAACACTTCCATCGAGTCTGTGTTTTGTGTATTGAAACCAATGTTGCTATGAATACCTGTATGCAGATACCCTATTGATGTGATATTTTTCATCTCCTTCCCATAAATGAATAGCAATGGCAATCTGGGGTCACATGCTATTTTATCTTTTTTGCGGGGGAGGCCACTCACAGGACTTTATGACTATTTCTGGCTCACTATTGCTCCCAGCAGTGTTCAGTGGGTCAGAGAAGCCGGAATGAACCCAGGGCTCCCTCATGCCGAGTGTTTGCTCCAGTCTGTTGAGTCTGTCCAGTTCCTTTTATATTCATTGATAAGGGGCCTCTATGACATTCCCCAGAGTTTGTACATCTTTGCTCCTTTTGAATGCACTAGTTTACATTTAAAATTTATTGTATACTTATTTTTACAAGTATAAGCATTGTACTTTTATTGTACTATTGTACTATTATTGTACTTTTATAGTACTTTTATAGTAAAACTACTATAAAAGTACTTTTTTGATAGTACTTTTATAGTAAAAGTACTTTTATAGTACTTTCATAGTACTATTATTGTACTATTGTACTATTATTGTACTTTCATAGTGTATTTTCCTAATAATAGGGGTCTGTGCATTGTTCATTTGTCTGTGTTGGTTTTTTTTGGGGGGTAGATAAGCATTTCTAAGTGTTTGGCTCAGTTATTTATCTGTTTGTGTGTGTGTGTGTGTGTGTGTGTGTGAGTTCTTCAGTTTAACTGCGAGTCTCCATTGGAGGCTCCATTGGAGACGCGCAGTTAAACTGAATATCTAAACTAAAACTCTAATATCTCCTTCTGAGCACCAGGCTGCACTTTGCTTTAGACGATAATTGGATCTTTCGGTGGTTGTTTTGAATTTGGTTCTTTGAATTTGGAGCAGTTCATTTCTGTAGTGCAGTTCTTTAATCTTTGTTTTTGGGCCAATCCATCAATGCTCAGGGGTTATTCCTGGCTCTGTACTCAGGAATTACTCCGTGCAGTCTTGGGGAACAAAATGGGATGCCAGGGATGAAACTCGGGTCAGCCGCATGCAAGACAAGCACCGGACTGGCTATACTATTGCTCTGACCCCTCTTTCATATAGTTCTTCCTATTTTCTGATATTTGAGTGCATGCCTGTTTTCATTCCAATATCATACTCTTTGTAATGTTAGTGCTTTTCACAGTAGTCCAAACTCAGGAAGCATATGCCTCTGATTTTCTTCAATCTCAGGATTGCTTTTGCTATTTGGGGTCTTTCGTGACAATCATTGTTCATTCAATTTCCTTGAAAACATCATTGGTATTGAGACGTTGCTTTAAACATTTTAGGTTTAGCATTGGTTTGTCCTTTCTTGCTGGATGAGAATCTGTCCTAGGAGAATCTTCCCCCGAGGGAAGGCCTTTACATCTGTTGATTGTCTGACCACACCTACGTGTGGTTGCTACCCTCAGTGTTGGGAGATTGGGTGTGAGACCAAGGCAGTGCGAGATGGAGTGTGGAAAGACTAGCATGGGGGACAGGAGGAGATGGGAAATAGGGTCAGTGAGAGACTGGAATGGGACGCTCAGTGAGACTGGAAAAGGTG